GCCCCATTCATCAGCCAAATGGCTGAATCTTGAAAGGACTTCCTGCTCAGCTCAGTCAGGCTGGTCCCAGCTAGCCACACCTGGCTGGCCCTGCGGCCTCCTCTGTTCATGCAAAGCGGAAGTCCTACTTTGCAAGAAGGCTGCTGGGCAGCCAGAAGGAACTCAGTGACTGCAGGCTGCAGGGATGTCCTTGCAAGAGGCTGCAAAGTGACTAACCCCTCAGCCGAGCTGCCCTTGCAGCTGCTCTAACCTGCCTGGATGTCCTGATGACCCTTGGGCCAGGACTCTTCCGGCTGAAGCCAGGCCTGGATCTCTGACACCTCTGGGAAGGCTGGGAAGGAGGGAAAAGGGGCAGTGGGAGGTGTAACCACCCCCAACCAGAAAGTCCCAAGAATGGGGAGGGGAGGTGACTCAGATGCAGAGGGGAAGTGGGTGGAAAAGAGAAGAGGCCCATTGTTGGGAATCCTCCCTCCCTGGGGTGTGAGGCACCTCAACCCCCACCAAGTTAGGCTCTAGCTTTACAAACAAGGATCAGACGCCCACCTCGCTAGCCACCTAGATCTAATCATGCAAGTAGACCTTAGCCAAGTGACTCACTTCTGAGCCTTGAGGACTAAACTTGACCTCTAAGTGACAGAGGTAAGTTCCCCTGGGATTCTCTAGTAAGGACACCACCCACCTAGGCTGCTGTGGGGATGTGTGGCAGCAGTGTTTCCTAATAGTAGAAACACAGAAGCCTTCCATTAAAGGCCCTGTGGACCCACCAAAGACCTCCCAAAGACTGTGGGTTCTTCGAGGCCTTCAGCTGGATTTGGCAGCTGCCGGGTAGCAGGCAGAACCCTTGTCTTCTACGGTCATCCATGACCCCAGACCCCAGGCCAAACCTGGGACAGTTCCATTTTCTCACACGCAATTGTCAGGTAGGGGAGACACCAAGACTCAGAAGCCCAGCTGGGTGGCAAGGGCCTGTGTCCCAGTTTAGTGTCACTCCAAGGGCTGCTGATAGCTCTTTTTCTTCCACCACCTGCCTGCCACGTAATTAAGTGATAATGAATTCATCTCTCTATTTTGTTATTTATCAAAGCAATATGTAGCTGTCAATCAGAGTGTCTGTTGGGCAAGAGGAAAGCAGCAACGATGTGCTGATTCCCTGTCATTCTGGCCCAAAGCAAAGGGCTGTTGCCAGTCGAACAGCCTGGCAGCTCTGTTGGGGGGAAGTGGAGGCAGCCAAAGGCTCCTTCTGAGCTACCTCAGGGCCAGCGCTGATGGCTCCCATCAGGGCCAGGGCATATGCTTTACTTGGGACAATGATGAGGGTAACTTAGTAAGTACTGATTCTGTGCCAAGTACTGGGTTACGCACTTGACAGCACCATCAGGTGAGGAAAGAGACCCAGGAAGGGTTAAGGAACGTGCTCTAGGTCGATGGCTAGGTCCCATCCTGTAGGACTGCAGACTGTCAACCAGGAAGAGAAGAGAGAGGAGGCCCAGTGGCCCCAGCAGCTTGTGATGAAAAGCCAGAAGGAAAGGGATCCTTCCCTGCCTGATGCAAGGGGTCATGAGATGAAGTGGGTGGGGAGGAGGCAGGGCAGAGGGGTAAGGCCAGTGCCGGGCCAGACAGGACAAGGAACTAGGGCACCTTCCTCAGATTCCACAGCTTGTTCACAATTATGTGGCTGCCTGCCTTCCAGGCAGGTGTCAGCTTACAGAACCTTCCAGAGTTCTCTCTGGGCTGTTGGTCCGCTCAGCGCTAGCCAGCCCTGAAATTCTGCCCGTCCCATGCCTTTTTGTCTTGGAAACTTCTGGAAAACAACTCTGGATGAGTGGGCAGAGAGAGGGGAGGAGGCTGGGTGTGTGTGAGAGAGGAGGGATATAGTTTGCGGTTACGGGGGTGGGGTGAAGAGGGTGGGGTACAGGCTCTAAGACACAGGGCCTCTGTGCCTGACAGCAGGTGGAACTCAGTACGTGTCATCTCTAGGCCCCACCTTGAGAAAAACCCATGATCCCAAGCAGGTCACTTCTCTCTTCTAGGTCTCAGTTTTCCTGTCTGTAAAAATGGGGAGAGGGGCTGGAGTCAGCTGGCAGTGTAGTAGATGGCAAAGCCTGCTGTTCCCTCCAGTTCTCCCTTGAACACTGTCGTCAGGTGGTTTCTGCTTGTCCACACTGAAGGATAGACCAGAAGACTGTGCAGTAGCTCTGAAGGGCATCAGTGCTCAAGACCCCGTAGACATAAGGCTAGGACATAAGGCTGTGAATCATCGCACACAGCCTGTTCCTCTAGCACAGGGGTAGACTGAAGTTAAGGAACGACAAGCGGATGAGGAAGGAAGCCTGGGGCTGCCGAGGAAAAACCAGCTCCACTTTCCAGAGGCACCAGCTCCACTCCTCCCTGCCCTCTGCTCTCAACAGAGCCCTGGCTGAGATCCTGGGACCTGCTGGGCCCCAGGAGGCAGCAGCCACTTGCACAGAGGAAGCAGATCGTGTATTTTGTGCTCTGAGAAGCCGTCTGGGGCTGTTCCCAGCCGGGACGCGGCTGGGCTGGGCTCATCGGGCACAGTGAGGCCTTGTTTCCCTGAATACAACAGCAGCAGCTCTGTGCTGTAGCCAGGGACCCTGGCGAGTGGCACTTCCTTCTCTTGAGGTCCAGCTTTCTGGCCCCTTCCTGCCCTGTCACCCCTCCCAACTCCACAGCACGCAGTACTAGTGCCAAGAGGTAGGTAGGTAGCTCCGAGGAGTCCAGCACCCTCTCGTCTCCACAAAAGCACCTCTCAGTTAAACTTCTCCCCCCAAAACAGCCTGTGTAAAACTGAGTACAAGCACAGCTTCCAGACCATTCTCCCCACGGGTTCCCCAAAAATCAAAGTGGTCTCTCCTGAGCTTGCTCTTGGGGGGGATCTGGGTTCCCTAAAATGATGCCATGGTTTGGGGGATAAGAATACAGCCGAAGGAAAAGGAAGGAGGAAATGTAAAATGGACTGGTGGTGGATGCAGGGGGGAAGGTCAGTCACACACACACACACACACACACACACACACAGAGAGAGAGAGAGAGAGAGAGAGAGAGACAGAGAGAGAGAGAGAGAGAGAGAGAGAGAAAACACACACAGAGAGAAAGAGGTGTCGGGACACTGACACAGGTATCTGTGAGAGACAGTTCTGAAGGGAAGGCCGCAGCTTTTGAGCCTACCCGTCTGAGTTCGAATCCCGATCCTATCATTTTGTAGCTGTAAAGTCCTGGGTCACGGGGCTGCTGGGAAGCATGGACGGGCTTTATTGCCCCAGCCCTATCTCTGCAGAGATCTATGACATGTGAACACCCTCTGGGACCATCCCATAGGGTGGATCGACCTCGAAGTCACAGTTGTCCTAAGGTTCAAAAGCAAGGAGTGTGGATTCTTGCTGTCTTGGCCTGGTCAGTCAGTGCAGACTGAAGCCAGAGGGTATCCTCTTGCCCGGGAACCTCTATGTAGACATTTGGGGGTGCATTATTGTGGCACCAGGGAGCTTCTAGTCACCCATGGCTGGGAACTAAAGTTCTCTTTCCCTATGAGGACTGGCTGTGGGTATGGAAGGAAGTGGGTCGTGGGACATGGGAAAACCTTCTCTGCACCCTGGATGGAGGGAACGCCCCCTTCCCTGGCTTCCTGATTGGTGTCTGGGCACTGTCAGCTGGGTGTGGCCGGGCTCTCAATCCTTTACCTGCCTGCTGTCTTTTGCTTTGGGACTTCCTGCGTACCCCACCCAAAACTCAGCTTCAGTGGCTCGGTCCCCTCTGGGATCCACTCCAGCCTGGTACCTGGAGGACCGCTTCCTTTCCAGGAATCATAGGTGGCTCGACAGGAAGTAGGGACGCCGGTCCTATGGAGGGCCACTTGCACCTTCACCACCCCCATGGGTACTCTCCCCCACCCCATATTGCTTGATTCTGTGGGGTGTGGAATGGCTGAGCCCACAGGTCTAGGGGACATCCTTATCTGGTAAGGGTACAGCTTGGAATCACAGGAACTAGAGGGTAGGAGTTGGAGATGTTAGTTAGGGCACAATGCAAGGGGTTCCCTTTCTGCCCTGAGAGAGTATGGCCACCAGGGATTGTGGGAAGGGAGGGACTGTTGCTGGGAAGAGGGCTGCCTTCTGATAAAGGGCAGGCAAGTCACCACTGCAGGGCCCTTTAGTGAAGGGGTTCGGGGTTGGGGGAGGGGAGGTGGACTCCCAGTGTATGGAGAGGGGCTAAGCCCCAGGGGACATTTTCCTGATGCTAGGGGAGTTACGTGTTTGTAGACTGGAGGACAGGGACAGAGGAGCCTTTCCCTAGCAAGACCACAGTGTTAAGGAAATGGGACCTGGCCAACAGGGTGGGCAGGAACGGAAAGGGCTGAAGAGTTTTCACAGTAAGTAAACACAGAATAATTGAGGTGTGTGTGTTGGGGGTGGGGGGGGGTGTCTCAACCTAGAACTAGAGAGACCAGAGCTAAGCAGAAGAAATTAAAGGACCCTAGTAAAATGCATACATCTGGAATAGGTGCCAGGAATGTCCCCTTAAGAGGCAATAGGGGTGCCTTATCTCGGTGGGGGTAGAGAGTCCAGTAGTTGGAACGGGAGAGGAAGGGAAGCCACCAGCCCTTTCTCAGTGTGTGTGGGTGTAGGGTGGTAGGCGCAGTAACATTGACAGTGGGAAGGGGGTCGGTACCCTGTGTGAGTGGTGGGGACTCTCTGGGGACCTGAGATTATCTGGAAGGAACCTCGGGGAGCCCCCAACCCACGTGGGGTATCCGGAGGGCAGCATCACCAGGAGGAAGGGGTCATATGCCAGGACCAGAAAAGGGGGGTTCCCCAGATCCACTTGCGTGCTGGGGTCTGGAAGTCTCGTGGCTCTCTGGAGAGGGCAGCAGAGTTCCCCACCCTGGTGAGTGGAGGTCCTGGGGGAGCCTAGCTAGGGATACTGGAGGTTCGGGCCCGAGGCCGGGTCTAGGGTGGTGGGGAAGCGGGCGCGAGGGCACTCACTGCTTGAACATCTTCTCCATGTCTTTGATCTGTTTCCTGGAGAACTCCTTGAACTCGGTGTAGGGGTTGAAGACGCGGCGGCTGGGCGACTGCGGCTCTCCGATGCCCTGGTTGAGGTCCGCGCGCCGCAGCAGCTTGGCGCTCAGCTCGTCGTCCGCGCTGCCCAACGCCTGGGCAGTCTCGTCGGGAGCCTCGGCCGCCGCCGCCGCCCCGTTGAGCCCCGGCTGCTCCGTCGCCTCGCCGCCTTCGCCCTCCATCTGCAGCCTCCGGCTCAGCTTGCTGGCCAGCTCGTCCGTGGCCATGGTGGCCCGCGTACCGCTGCCTCGGCCGGGCCCCTGCTCTGCGCCGCGCTACCAGCCCCGCTCTTCCTCTTCCTGACACTCCCCGCCGCCAGGCGCCGCCCTGAAGGTGGGACTTAGGGGACCGCCCGCCCCCGGGCTGGCTCCCGCCGCCTGTGCCGCGTGCCCGGTCCCTCTCAATCCCCGGGGAGGGGGGGTCAGGTGCATTCTGCTCCCTAACTCTTCATCATTAACCCCCTCCCACCCCCCCAGTGAAAAACTATCAACATCTCTCTGATGACCTCGGGGGGGACCCCTGAGTCCCGCGAGCCCTCTGGAAGGAACCTGGGGAGGGGGGTGTCCCAACCCTGAGGGAGGGAAGAGGGTCTGCTCGCAGGAGGTGGCTGTGGATTCAGGGACTGGAGAGGGGCGCGGCTCCCAGCCCCTTCTCTGAAAGGGGTTTGTGTCTCTGGCACCCTGTCGGTTGCCATGGAGACCACTGGTAGTGAACCGCTGGGCGTTCTTGATAAGGTTGCAGGAGTCTGAAGAAGGTGGACCCTAGCACCGGAGTCCAATTGAGATCGTCTCCAGGGCCGTAGTGACTGACATCATCCAAAAGTGGAGTAGCTGCTACGAGGGAGATGGCACCCTATCAGTCCTCAAAGGTCCCCAAAGAACTGGGAAAGGGGAAGGGGCTCGTCCTGCTAGATGATGATTCAGCACAATAGCTGCTGGACTCCGTTGATGCCTGGGGCTCCACCTCAGAGGGATTTCAGAGAGATCTCTATGTTGCCTCTTTGACGGGGATCCCAGAGGGGTGACCTCCTCCCCAAAGGCTCAGGAAAGAGGGCTGGAAAGGAGGAGTTCAGAGAGAATCTGTCTCTGTCTTCTAGCCTGTCACTTCAAGAAGCAAAGCTGGGCTGAGGAGAAGGCTCAGTTATTAAGAGTGGTTATTACCCTTGTGGAGGACTGACATTTTAGCATCCATGTAGGGTGGGGGAAGGGAAGGGCAAGTCACCAAAGGCCTGTAACTCCAGCATCAGGGATCCAAGACCCTCTTCTGGCTTGCTTATGGGCCCGCACTCATGTGCGTGTACCCCTCCCCCACATACACACAATTAAAGCTAAAGTAAATCTTTGAGCAGCACATGGTGGTGTATGCAGCCTTTAGTCCTAACACTCAGGAGGCAGAGGCTGGCCAGTCATTACGGGTTCAGTCAGCCTGGTCTACATCAGGAGTTCCAGGCTAGCCAGAGCTGCATAGTGAAACCCCCCTCCTCGATAGATAGGTGATAGATAGATAGATAGATGATAGATAGATAGATAGATAGATAGATAAGCAAACTCTTAAAAACTACAAAGCTATGGTGCTCCGGCATCAACTTCAGGGGCACTAGCCATAATGCTGACTCCCAGGCCCCACCTAGACTGACAGACCTGCCCTTTGTCACTGGGGTCCAAAAAGCTGCTTTTCGCCTTTAATCCCAGCACTTGGGAGGCAGAGGCAGGCGGATTTCTGAGTTTGAGGCCAGCCTGGTCTACAGAGTGAGTTCCAGGACAGCCAGGGCTACACAGAGAAACCCTGACTCGAGAAACCAAAAAAAAAAAAAAAAAGAAAAGAAAAGAAAGAGTAAAATGGATTCAGAAGAAATCCGTAGTTTAGAAGGTGCAACAGTTTGATTGGCTTTTTGTAAGGTTGCTAATTCTGATAAAGACACTTAAGTTTAGAAATTTTTGATTTCTTAAAGACCAACGGAGTTACATGTCGTTATTGTGGGTAGTTTAGTCCAGCTGCTTGTGAAAGGAACACAGTTTACTTATTTCATAGGGACCAAGAACGGGGGAGGGGTGCACAGAGACTCCAACATTTAAATTACATCTGCTCATGTCCAGGTTCGTCTAGGCTGTCCTTGTAAAGTGAGTAGGTGACTTTCAAAACTCTGTTGATCTTCAGTTTACCCAGACTTACAACTTTATTTTAGACAGATGTCCGTAGCCCAGGCTAGCCTCATTCTCCCTGTGTAGGTGAGGATATGGATATGTGTTTCTGATATTTCAGCTTTCTAAGTGCTGGGAGAACAAGATCTGTGTCCTTAGATGTTGTTTATACAACGCTAGAGATTGAACTCAGGACTTTGAGCATGCTAGCCCAAAGGCTTTACTGTCTGATCTATATCCCCAGTCCCATTTCTTGTTTTGTTTTTTGAGACAAGAGTCTCCCTTTTCAGTCTAAGGACTTGAATTTGCTATGTGGTCTAGGCAGACTTCAAACTGGAGATTCTCCTGCTTCAGCTTCTCCGGTGCTGTGATCACAGGTATCTGCTGCACTCTGGGTGAATTTACGACGTCTAATAGTTCTGCAGGACTCAGAAGTGGTTTCATTATGGGCAGTTTCGCATCTGTCTGACTTCACCATGATGAGAGTGTCTGATAGGTCTGCTGTCTTGAGAAGTCATTCACGTGAGACTGGAGTTTGAATTCTTTGAAGGATGTGTGTGTGTTAAGCTCTAGTTAGCATCCTATGTAGCTTGCATAGGTAAAATCCGGGCTCAGGAGGAGGTTGGACACCCTGATGCACAGGTAACAGGATTTCTCCCCTATCTGCTATATCGTGAGAAAAGGATTGTCACCGGAGCCTTGCTGCTTCAGCTCAGGACACCCTTCTGGGTGGGCAACTCCTCAATTAGTTTTAGAATTTATATTAATTTATTGTTATTATTAATTTGGGGCATGTGTTAGTGGTGGTCAGAAGACAATTCTTTTGTTTGTTTGTTTGTTTGTTTTGTTTTTTGTTTTTCGAGACAGGGTTTCTCTGTGTAGCTCTGGCTGTCCTGGAACTCACTCTGTAGACCAGGCTGGCCTCGAACTCAGAAATCTGCCTGCCTCTGCCTCCCAAGTGCTGGGATTAAAGGCATGTGCCAGCACTGCCTGGCCAGAAGACAATTCTTAGCAGTTGGTTCTCTCCTTGTACCTAGGATGACACTCAGTTAAACACTTTTACCTGCTGAAATATCTCAACAGGTGTTTGGAGGGGTTTTTTTAAGACTAAAGTTTCACTTTGTAACTCAGGCTGGTCAAGATCTCACTAGATAGCTCAGGCTGGCCTATAACTGTCAGCAATCCTCTGGTTTCAGCCCCCCTGAGTATTGAGATTAAGGCATGGATCCTTATATTCTGTCTGGAAATTTCCGTAAACAACTCTTGGGTTACCTATCTGTGTGTACGCACATACATATGAAGGCCAGAGGTTGTTGGCTGTCATTTCTCAAGCACTGTTCACCTTGGGATTTTTTTAAGATATATTTATTTATTACATGTATATGAGTGCACTATAGCTGTCTTCAGACACACCAGAAGAGGGTATCCGATCCCATTACAGATGGTTGTGAGCCACTATGTGTTGCTGGGAATTGAACTCAGGACCTCTGGAAGAGCAGACAGTGCTCTCAACCGCTGAGCCGTCTCTCCAACCTCACCTTGTGTTTTTGAGATAGAATTTCTCACGAGCCTGGAAGTTGTGGAGTAGTAGACTCTTTGCAAACATGATGGGGGTTGAACTCAGATCTTCACACTTGCGTGGCAAACACATTACCGACTGACCTATCTCCCAGGCCTAGGTGAACTTCCTCATACTTCTGAGTCTCTGTGACACGTGAGGCAGGTGAACAAGGCCCTGCCTGTCCCAGAGGCAAGTGGGCTGTAGTCCTGTCTAGAGAGCTGGTTGCTAAAACCAGAACCAGAGATGCAGGTTGGAGACTATGTTTCATTTGATTTTTTTTCTTCCTTCTTGGGAGGTATTGGATTTCAGGGAAACTTTGTTTCTCTTTTAGACACTAAAGCAATGGCGAGGGTACAAACGCAAAGGCGATTTTGATAGGCTCCGACCGAAGACAAGACTAGAGATAGAACTTCCAGGAAATACCAGTTGGCTCTTTATCAGGGAGTTACTTTATAATGACCGTGAGTTCTGGGTGGTGAGCATGGAATCTGGCAACAGGGAAGATCTATTCTGGTGACACATTCTAGCATTTGGTCATGAAGAAAGAATGATCTTCAGGAAAAAAAAAAATCACCCCCTCAGCAAAGGATTTCTACGGAGGCTGAGGCGAGTGAGAGCCGACTCTGACGCTCTTGCAAGTGGCGAGGGAGCTAAGCCGACTTAGTCATCCTTGAAGCGTCTCCTTTCTGCCTCCCACATTTACTTGTATAACTGTCTTCTAGGGAGGGATGAAGTCTTATTAAGAAAACAACAGCCGGGCGGTGGTGGCGCACGCCTTTAATCCCAGCACTCGGGAGGCAGAGGCAGGCGGATTTCTGAGTTCGAGGCCAGCCTGGTCTACAGAGTGAGTTCCAGGACAGCCCGGGCTATACAGAGAAACCCTGTCTCGAAAAACCAAAAAAAAAAAAAAAAAAAAAAAAAAGAAAACAACAGCAGTTTGAAAAAGAGAAGGGATGGGCTACAAGATGGCTCAGTGGGTAAGAATGGTCGCTATGTAAGCATGAGGACCTCGGTTCTAATCCCAAGCATTCACACTATAAAAAAAAAAATCTAGCAAGGTGTGGTGGCACACGCCTTTAATCTCAGCATTTGAGAGGCAGAGGCAGGCGGATCTCTGAGTTCAAGGCCAGCCTGGCCTACAGAGTGAGTTCCAGGACAGGGCTACACACAGAAGCCCTGTCTTGAAAATAATCTGTAGTCCTAGTGCTGTGGCTGGTGGAGTCAGGAGAATTACTGGAGTTTGCTTCCAGCCTAGCTCAAAGATCAGGGAGAGACCATTACTCAAGGAAATATAGTAGCATGATAGAATGGGCCAATCAATGTCTTCCATGTGAGTGCATGGGTGCACCCCTGACACACACACACATACACACAGGCATGCTTGTGCCTGCGTACAAGAGGAAGACAAGAAACGGTTGGGGAGAGCTCTAGGTTGACCAGACAGAATGGCCACTGGGGGCACATTCCAGAGTCTGACGGAACTGGGTGGTCTCTTCAAGCTCTGAGATTCTGGGGGATCAGGGAATGGATTAGTGAGGACTTCTGAGATAACCCCAGGTCAGAGCATGCAGGCTAGAGCGTGCGCCTAGCAC